ACTAAAATAAAATCATAACCAAGACTGAAAAAAAGGCATACAGCTTGACTAAACATCACAGAATTTAAATTTCTGGGCATGCTACAGTTAAAGGTGTTAAAAAGAATAGCGTACGGACATATGCCCATTTCTACACTCACTATGTGAATTGAGTGCAGCTGCCAACCAAGCCACGGAAACCTGATGTTCTCACAACTTCTTAATTACAAATAGGTAACTACAATAGTTAGCTAAAAAATGAGAAGAGAACCTTGTAAAGCGTGACCGTGCTGGCCGAAGGAATACGAGAACCAGAGATGTTCTCTGTCAGGTTCCTACTAGTGGTGGTCTTGAAGAGATGCATGAACTCCTTCCTCTGCTCCTCTCCTGCAACTTGAAGTAGACGCTCAATCTGAAGAAGAAATATGTGACATGCAGCAAATCATGCATTAAAAAAATACTTGGATTATTTTCAGTTTTAAATTAGAGCATATATAACATACCAATACTTTTCAACGAATCTTTTTAAAAACATAACTTTCCACATTACCTACTAAGACAGCCAGTATCATATTGTTACTTTTTTAATAATAAACATTCATGCTTAAAACCTGAAAATTCCACTCAAACCCGCTATGCTTAGACACTGTCAATGAATAGCTACAAAAAAATATGTACATGGATGACGATCAACAAACTCACTCTCAATACAGACAAAACCTACTTCGTGCTATTTGGAATTAAATATCCAGCTTAACATATCAGTAAATGGCTTCCCTTACAAGACACACGGAGGGCAAATTTCTAGGTCTCCACCTTGCTGTAATTTTAAGTTTCAGACCCACATCCGCATATAACTAAATCTCCAAAACAGTATAGCATCCTTTCCAAGATACGATACTATGTACCCCAAATGACGCTCCTTACTTTATATCACTCTGTAATCTACCCTTATCTCACCTATTGGTATTTGTGGATGAATGGTTCAGGAGAACCGACATGTTGATAAATTAGACACATGTGCAACTCTTGGGTATCTTTATTGAGGAAACGTTTCGCCACACAGTGGCTTCATCAGTCCATACAAAGGAGAATCTTGAAGAACAGGAGGAGAATGAGGTAATCAGTCCCTCAACCTTGAGTTGATGTGTTCAGTCCATCAATCTTAAATAGAATAGGGGCTTTTACGTGCGGAGAAGGAGCTTTTTAAACCCTTTGGTAGGAGGGGTTTTAGCAGTCATAGGGGCTTTTTCACATTTTTTTCAATGGGAAGAAAGGTCGTGCCCAAGGAATTAGGCAAGCGAAAAATTTCCCCAAGTTTTTAAGATCCCCCAAGGGTTGAGGGACGGGATTCCCTAAATTCCCCTCCGTTTTTTCAAGATTCCCCTTTGTAGGGATGAGAAGCCACGGGGGGCCCAAAACTTTTCCCCCAATAAAGATCCCCAAAAGATTGCACAGTTTTCTAATTTATAAAACATGTCGGTTCTCTAAACCCCAATTTATCTCCCAAACTTTTCGGGGACACTGCAACTTTTTGGGGTTTTTAATACTTGGGAATTCTTCGCTTCCCCAAAATTTTTTGGGGCCGACCTACTTCCACATTAAACCCAAATTTGGGGACACCCCCTATGCCCGCTCCCACCCTTTTTCCCCAACGGTTTAAAAGGGCCTTCCCCTTTTTTCCCAAAGGGAATGGGTTTTTCCCTATTCAAATTGGGGGGGAAACCCTTTCCCTCGAAACCCCAAGGGGTTAAAAGGGGTAAAATTTCTAAATTCTCCCTTAAATGTTCTTTTAAGGTTTTTTCCGGGGGAAGGCCCCTTTTTAAACCAAACTTGTGTGGTTAAAAAATTTTCCTCCGAAAAAACCAAGAGTTGAATTTTAAATTTTTTAAAATTTTTTTTGTGGCCTTTGGGAAAAAAGGGCCCAAAAAAAAAAATTCCATTTTTAAACCCTTAAAAAAAATTTGCTCCCCTTTTTTGGCCGGTTTAAATTCCTCCAGAAAAGCCTAAAACCAAACCCCCCTTTTAAAGAAGGCTTCCCCCCCTTAAAAAAATATAATTTTTTCCCAACACGTATTCCCATTTAAAAAGGCAATCGGTTTCCCAAAAAAAAAAAATTTCCTTTTTTACTCAATTTCTCAAAAATACCGGCTTTGCGGGGGTTGCCCAAAAAATTTTTTTAAATTCCCCCAAAACCTTTCCAAAAACCCATCCTTTTAAATTTTTACACCCATTGTTCCCCAACCTTGGGGGCAAAGCCCCCGTTTAAACCCGGTTTCCCGGGGGAAATTTTCCCAAAATTTTTCCGTACCCCTCTTTCCGTTCCCCAGGAAAAATTCCGGGGTTTTATTCACTTTTGGGCCCAAAAATCCGGGGGAAAAGTTAAGGCCCCGGGAAAAAAACCCTCCTTTTACCCCTTTTCCCCTTTTTCCCGGGGGGCAACCCTCCTTCTTCCCCCCCTTTTTCCACCCAACTTTTTTACCCTCCAAGTCCTTTTTAATTTTACTCCATCCTCTCAAAATTTGGCCCCAAACCCCATCTCAATAACCCCCCCTCTTCAGTCTCTAAAAATAAAAAATATGCACAAAATAATATGATTTAGAAAATTTATGTAAGCAAACACTAGGCCATATTTTTAGAAACTTTTCGGTTGAGCCCTTTGTTTTCAAAATAAGTATGTCCTAGTGTTTGTTTATGGTTTTTCTAAAAAAAACTTGCCCGTTTTTAAATTACCAAAAAAAAATTATACATTACAGTGGCCCCCCGTTTACCGGGGGGTAGCTCACAAAAACTTTAAAATCCTTTTCCGTTTACTTTTTATCGTTTGATTTTGCCTCGCATCCGCAAAAAAAACCCCGGGTTTCAAACTTTTGTCGGACGCTTTAAAATTTGTGGGCCCTGGCCAGCCTCACATTTTCCCGCCGGGGGCATTGTTTACCGCCAGCCTCCGTGGAAAACATAAAAAGGATAAAAATCTTTTAACATTTCGTTTTTTACAGTGTTTTTGGTGATTTTATTTTGCAAAATAAGTGACCATGGGCCCCAAGAAAACTTCTAGTCCCCAACCCTGTGGTAAAAAGGGTGAAAAAAATATTTCAAAAAATACTGTGGTCCCAGGGGTAAACTGTTTGATGCTGCTGTCCCTGCTGTGGGCACTGTCAGCCTGCGGGGCCGGGCCCTGGCTCCCTTTTTAGCACCGTCACTGCTGCTGCTTTTAGCCCGTCAGCTGCTGCGCACTGTCAGTGCTGCTGTGTTGTAGACTCTAGTTTTGGGCTGTGCTCCCTGTACACCATCAGCTGTTTGCTGTTTGCTGTACCACCTCACCCCTGCTGTTTGGTGTTTTAGTCCCTTTTCTGCTGCTGCTGTGTGTAGTACCATCTGCTCCCTGCTGTAGCATCGTCTGCTGTTGCTGTGCTCGTTGCTGCTGCTGTGTGCACTGTAAAGTTTGCTGCTGTTTGTTTTTCTGCTGTTTTCCACTGTTGTTGGTGTGGTTTATTGAGAATCCCAAAAAGAAAAAAATTTAAACCCCCAGAGGGTTAGCCCCCCGGGAAAACCCAAAAAAAAGGTCAGTTTAAAGGAAGACTGTTAATTTTTTCCCTTTGGGGCCCCTTAAATCTTGCCCCCCCCGGTTTGAACCCCCCCCCAGTGGACTAACACCCGGGTTTTAAAGGGGAAAAAAAAAAATCCCTGGAACTGTGTTTCTATTGGGTAAATTTTTAAAGCTAGCAAAGGTTGGGTTTGAGGATTTTAAAAATCTTTTGGGGCCCATAACAGTGTGATAAGGCCTGTTCTGGAAGAAAATCCCAAACGGACCACAGTACTCAGGAGGAAAAGGCACCCCCAGGACAAAATGTCTCATCAGTCATTGCTGCATTTTAAATTTAAAGGGTAAGTGTCATTTATTCTTCCATTTGGGTAGTTAGAACATGCACAATATATATTGTGCATTTACTACTTCCCAATTGTGCATGTACCCTTCTCTTTGTGTGTGGGGAAATTTTTATTTAGGGGTTTAAAATTTTTTTTTTTATACTTTTGGGTGTTTGCCCGGTTTAATTTGATTTCCATTATTTCTTATGGGGAAAATTTTATTCGAAAAACGATAATTTTTGGGATAAAAAATGAGCTTCATGAACAGAAATTTAAAATCGTTTTGCGGGGGCCACTGTTTTAATAAAATACCTATATTGTTGGGTACTATTTTAAAGAACATTAAACTCCACGTTTACCCATCAGTATAAAAGGGGCCTGGGGTGTTAGGGCGAAATGATTTGGGGGCATCTTGGGACAAATCACCTTTTTCCCTTTAAATGTTCTTCTAAAAAGCAGGGTTTTTTACATAGTGGATGTCACTGATGTCAAATATTACCACCCGCACCATTTATTGGGAAGATTTGATTTTTTTGTGCAATTCAAGATTATTTTATGAAAACCCCCTCCACCCTTTCTACCCCCTTTACTTGTATTAAGTGTAAAAAACGGGTTGTAAAAAAAAGTTCCAAATACTTTTGTTAGTTTTTTTTAAAAAGTTATATGTTTTTTTCTAAAATTTTTTATTTTTAGGTTTTTTTAAATTTGGGTTTCTATGGATTTGGGATTTGTTTGCCCCAAATTTTCTTTGGCATGGATAGGGCATCTTTGTACTTAGCAAATCAAAAATTTTTAATTTCACACTTTTAATCTTTTCAAATTAAAAACGAGTCATTTGGGGGCTTTTTTAATTTTTTTCTCACCATTCCTTGGGGTTTTCTCTGTGTATGTCCCCTCCTGCCTAAGCAGGAAGCCCAAAAAATGGGGTGTTTTTTTCCCCTTTGATTTGGCATAAGAAAGAAGTATTTTGGGGTTTTTTTAATTTCCTTTATGGGGTTTTTTGTTTTTTCCTTTTGATTCTTGGCCCGGTTTAAAATTGTTCACGACTGGGGAAATTATTTTTTTTATTTTTATTAAAACCCCATCGGCCGTTTCCCACCAAGGTAAAGGGGGCCCCAAAAAAAAAAACCCTTTAAACATTCACTCCCTCACTGGGCTTTCCAGAGGCAGGGCCCACATTCAGTTTAAAAAAATACAACATTAAAAACCCCTCCTTTAGAGTGCGACACTGTATTTCCCCTTCCCCGGTCAAGTCCGGCTGCCGGGGTTTCCCCGAATCCCTTTTAAAAGGGTTTCTTGGGGTTACACTCCAAACAGCAAATCAAGTCCAAAAACACTTGTCTTTCCCTTTTTCTCCTGTCTAAAAACCAAATCACGCACGCTTCCTGGAAGTCCCTTTCCCCCCGACACAAAAAACCCCCTTTCCCTCCCTCCCAAACCTTTTTATAGGCCAAACCCCTTTCCCCCCCCTCCCCCAATTCAGGGAAATTTTTATACTCTCAAAGCCATTCTATTTTGGGTTTCCTCCTCTCTACATGTCCA